AAGAAGGGGAGAGGGAGGGGGAGAGAGAGGGAAAGAAGGAGAGGGAGAGGAGTAGAGAGAAAGAGGGAGCGGGGAGAGGGGATAGGGAGGGGGAGAGAGAGAGAAAGAGAGAGGGAGAACGATAGACAGAGAGAGGAGGGGGTTCATCCAGAGCCCGGCCCATCTTCCCCATGACCACAGAATGAGGGGGTGCTCTGGGAAGGCCCCGGGACACAGGCAGGCGGTCCAGCCTCCCCTCCCCCATTGCTGTCAGTCCACCTGCACCCCAGCTGCCCGAACCAGCCTCTGTTTTTCAAGTGTGTGATTGCTCTTCCCGCAGAACACGGCCCCTCTGTGGGCCGCCTGTCCACAGCCCTGTGTGTTCGCTGGGGGTGGCTGGCTTTGAACCTCGTGCCTGGACTGACAGGGCTGAGAGCGTGTTACCCATTCCTTCTGGAAGCACGCGCGCTCTCCAGTGTGGATTCTGCGCCCTCCTTGGCACACTCCAGTGGCGGGAAGAGCCACCCTTCCCTCGACCCTTCAGTGGGAAAGCACTCACAACTGGAGACCCTGGCTCTGCCCTTCGGGGCACTGGTCTGAGGACCCTGCGCAGCAGCAACGCCTCCCAGAGCTCGATGCGTGGCGTTGCACCTGGTGTGTGGGGGAGCTCTGGGGAGCCAAGAGCTATTTTTGGTTCTATAGTCCTTGGGTTTGAAGGCTGTGCCTGCTGGGAAAGGAAGTTCTGGCACCTTCCAGGGGAGGCTGGCTGGGTCCGGAGACAGAGCTCCACGTGGCACAGTGTTTGCCACAGGCCTGGATGAAGGGACTCTGGTTCTATTGCAAAGTTCTCTCTTCCACACGAAGAACAAGCTGCAGTTATTTTGTGTGGATTTAGTTAATGCTGACTGAATTCAAGGGCCGTGAGCAAGCCAAGTTGGCTGTTCAATGAGAGAAAGGTCATGGGGGGAGGGGAGGGGGGGAACTGGGTTGCCTTCCTATCTCGATCTCCATCGCTAATCAGATTTCCTGTTGACAGTTTATACTTCTGTGTCCTCAGATTATAAAACATTATCTTAATTCAATCATAAAGTTCTCCCACAGGGGCAGTCTAATTACGACTTAGCATATTTCTATTTCACTCACAAATGAAGACCCACATACTTGGGTTGAGAATTATTACTGAAATACTGCCATTTCCAGTCCAAAGCAGCAAACTGCTTTGACTCATTGTAGCAAAACGCAATCCGTATGTATAATTCAGTGTGAAACGTGGGACCTTCCAGCCAGGTGTGCACGGAGGCGGCCCTGGGGGAGGAGGGAGTGTGATTCAGAAGGTCTACTGCTGGGTCCTCGGTGAGTTTTGTCACCAGTGAAACTGCTCTGAGCCTGTGCTCTGCACCGGTTCACCCAACAGAACAGCTTGAGACAAGAGCACAGCGTGCGTTAGGAAGCACTCCATGCAGAGATGAGCGTACGATCTGGAAGATTCAGCTCCTTCCTACACTCATGCATAGACGTGTCCCCATGTGCACACCTGTGTGGTGGGTGACCAGTCCGTGGGCTGGCCTGCCCACTGCAGGGGGCCCTGGCCTGGCTGACCCACGTCCCGGCCTGACCCACATCCTGGTGTGTGAGGCAGGGCTCTGGCAGGGCCCCCCAGACCCCACACCATCTCCATCCTCGGTGTTTGGACGTTGGACTTGCATTTAAATATGCTAAAAGAAACAAAACACAGTTTTAAGATAGCATAAAGCTGGGCCGTTAATAGGACCGTTGGTCTGCAGTGAGGGCCCCATTCAGACAAGGATGCGTGTCGCGTTGGAAGGTGTTTGCTGAGGACCTGGCCCAGCACGGTTGGATCTGCCCGGGGCTTTGGGACCATGCCGGTTCGGTGCGGTGCCTGGAGTCCTGATGTCAATCTGCCCTCTCGTGTAACGCTAGAATTCCCTCACAAACCACGTGGTCACCAAGTGACCGATAGCCCTCTTCAAAGTGTCAGCCCTGCAATGTTCTTTTCTGAAAGGCAACTGGAACCGTTTTCTTCTGCTGCTGGGACTCGAGCCCAGGGCCTTATGCATGCCAGTGGCCGCTCTGCCGCTGTACTGATGCCCACAGCCCAAACCAGGGCCTTCAAATACCTCCAGCAGCCTATGTGTTTATTCTTGAAGGGTCGTTTACATTTGCTTTCATTTGTGTGCACCTGACATTTTTGGGTGAAAAATCAGCCCTGTGTCCACCTGAGGTCCACTGAGGGTCCAGCTGAAGGGTGTTGCATGCGTAGCCTCTCTGCCCTGGGGTGGAGGCTGCCCTGGGCTGTGCGGCCCGGCCGCTGCTCCGGCGGCACTGTCCTACTATCAGACTTGCGTAGTTCGGTTAGGAAGGCAGAGTGCTGTGGAGTAATCAACATGGAATAAAATAGTTACATTTCGTGTGTGTGTGCGAGCGCGCGCACACACGTGTGCATGCACGCACATTTGTGTGCTTGTGTGCCAGTCTGGCCTGGGTACTGTCCCTGAGAGCTTTTGCGTAAGGCTGGTGCTTCACCACTTGAGCCACAGCACCACGCCTAGCTTTATCTGAGGCATTTATTGAAGGAAAGAGTCTCAGACTGGGACTCTCCTGCCCAGGCTGGCTTCAAGCAGTGGTCCTCAGATCTCAGCCTGAGCAGCTGGGGTGAGAGGCGTGAGCCTCCACTGCCCAACAGTCACATTTCTTAATTAATCAAAACAATTTTGACAAGCAAAAATAATTCTATTTCTTCGTGTCCTCTCTTAGGTTCTGTAAATGAAAAATTACCCCAACGGGAAGGCACAGGAAAAGCAGGTAACTATCGCAAAAAGAATTTGCACGATAATATATAGAAGCTAATGCAAATTCTGTCATGGAATAACTTTTTGAGTTAAAATTTGAACATGTACTGGTAATGAGGACGATGCTCAAACAGTCGGAGAGTTCTTTATCGGTTCTACACACACGTGTCCATCCTGGCCTCTGCCGGTGCCCGTGGGCACGGGCTGCAGGGGGCCAGGTCCACCGGTCAGGTGACGCTCTCCGTGTGTCAGTGGCTGTCAGGTGGTAGCTGCAGTGTGGGAGGACCCTGTGGGGCGTGGGGAGGGCCAGCAGCTTTGCTCCACATGGGATTGTAGGCTGCAGTGTTGCTATTGACCTTTACATTAACTTCACGATGAAACAAAATTAGACTTTAGTGCCAAAATCATAGACATCTTTCATAACACACTGAGTCGACGGCACAGAGAAGTAATACAAATTTAAATATACCAAAGCTTTATTTGGCTCCATTCCAGACGCGTAGCCTGAGACTCTTAATGCCCCTGTGGGGATAGAAAGGCAGCATGGGCCGTGTGGGGAGCACTCGGTAGCGTGGGCCGTGTGGGGAGCACTCGGCCGCGTGGGCCGTGTGGGGAGCACTCGGCCGCGTGGGCCGTGTGGGGAGCACTCGGCAGCGTGGGCCGTGTGGGGAGCACTCGGCAGCGTGGGCCGTGTGGGGAGCACTCGGCAGCGTGGGCCGTGTGGGGAGCACTCGGCAGCGTGGGCCGTGTGGGGAGCACTCGGCAGCGTGGGCCGTGTGGGGAGCACTGGGGCAGCGTGGGCCGTGTGGGGAGCACTCGGCAGCGTGGGCCGTGTGGGGAGCACTCGGCAGCGTGGGCCATGTGGGGAGCACTTGGCGCGGCGTGGACCGTGTGGGGAGCACTCCCGAGGACATAGGGCTGCCCGGTGGTTTCTTGAAGAGGGTATACTTGGGATGGACCAGTGCTAGCGGCTTCCCACAGTGAAGACGGGAGCAGAGGCGCAGAGGGCTGGGTGAGGCCTGTGTCATCCTGAGCAGGAAGCAGGGAATATTAGAATAAGCTACTTAGACTTTAGTCTAAGATCGTGTGCAGAAAATCTTGTGCTTTTGAAGGTGACAGTGATTATGGTTAGGAAAGGAATCAAATGCTGGAAAGGAGGCAGCGGCCCAGGGTTGCGGAGCTCTTAAAGCACAAATCCTCCTTTTGTTACAAAGTACGTGGGGCGCCCTGGGGCAAGTTCCTGTGGGTGCGGGGCAGGGGCACATACAAGGGACCAAGGCCCTGCCTGATGGACATGCATCTCACAGAAGGCATGCCTGGAATCAAGCACCAGCATTGGTTAGTAGATTAAGAATGAACTGAGAGTGTGAGCAGCAGGATTAATACCTCAGGGGGCTCTGTGCCAGTGGTGTAAGGCAGGACCGTAGCAAGGCCAGGGCTGAGACGCTGGGCACGGAGAGCTGGGCACAGGCCTCCCCGCTGAACCTGCCGGCCGCCCCACAGAGCTGGCCATGTTCTGCCTGCAGAGACAGGTGATTTGGGGGAGGGGCTGGAGGGCCTGCAGCAAAAGCAGGAAAGAGGCTGAAATGAGCCACTCTTCCGTTTTTTGTTTTTACTGTGTTCTTTTTAAGCCTTTTGATTCCTTAGGTGTCTCTTTCTCTTTGTTTCCTTACACCCCTGGCTTATTGTTGCCAGCAGTACCAGCTGTGTGTTCACATGAGGTGAGGTGACATTTTTGTCAGGATTTGGACAGAAAACTCTCTTCAAGAGCTTATTCCGTGTGACAGATTCTCCTATGAGGAGGAGCCTGTTTGGACAGCTGGGAAGGGGGGTGGGGCTGTGAGTCCTGGGTGGCCCTGGTCCTGAGTTTTGATTCTGAAGTCACTGAGAGTGAGTGACCTTGGGGGAGGAGACCCTTGGGTGGGTGACCTTGGGGGCGGTGACCCTCAGGCGGGTGACCTTGGGGGAGGAGACCCTTGGGTGGGTGACCTTGGGGGTGGTGACCCTCAGGCGGTGACCTTGGGGGAGGTGACCCTCAGGCGGGTGACCTTGGGGGAGGAGACCATTGGGTGGGTGACCTTGGGGGAGGTGACCCTTGGGTGGGTGACCTTGGGGGAGGTGACCCTCAGGCGGTGACCTTGGGGGAGGTGACCCTCAGGCGGGTGACCTTGGGGGAGGAGACCCTTGGGTGGGTGACCTTGGGAGAGGTGACCCTCAGGCGGTGACCTTGGGGGAGGTGACCCTCAGGTGGTGACCTTGGGGGAGGAGACCCTTGGGTGGGTGACCTTGGGGGAGGTGACCCTCAGGCGGTGACCTTGGGGGAGGTGACCCTCAGGCAGGTGACCTTGGGGGAGGAGACCCTTGGGTGGGTGACCTTGGGGGCGGTGACCCTCAGGCAGGTGACCTTGGGGGAGGAGACCCTTGGGTGGGTGACCTTGGGGGCGGTGACCCTCAGGTGGTGACCTTGGGGGAGGAGACCCTTGGGTGGGTGACCTTGGGGGAGGTGACCCTCAGGCGGGTGACCTTGGGGGAGGAGACCCTTGGGTGGGTGACCTTGGGGGCGGTGACCCTCAGGTGGTGACCTTGGGGGAGGTGACCCTTGGGTGGGTGACCTTGGGGGAGGTGACCCTCAGGCAGTGACCTTGGGGGAGGTGACCCTCAGGCGGGTGACCTTGGGGGAGGAGACCCTTGGGTGGGTGACCTTGGGGGTGGTGACCCTCAGGTGGTGACCTTGGGGGAGGCGACCCTCTGGTGGCCCAGCCTCCGCCCTGCCCCCCAGGCCAGGCTGTCCACCTGCACCCAGGGGTCTGTGGGCGGAGAGGGTATCAGCCGCTCCCATACTGGTCCTGCACTAGCCCCCTCTCTGCCCCGTACCCCGCTGGCTTCTTATGCCTGGGACGCTCAATCCTCAGCCTTCATCAGAGACAGGCCTGCTGCACGGTACATGAAATAACAATTGTACATTTGAAGAGAGTCCTCCCGGCTCCTCCCCAGCTCCCCAGCTCCTCCCCAGCTCCCCAGCTCCTCCCCAGCTCCTCCCCAGCTCCTCCCCGGCTCCCTGGGACCCGGAGCTGTGCAGGCGTGGGGGGGGGCAGGGCTGTCCCACGGGCTGGGCTCCCTCACACCTGGGATCGCCCCGCTCAGCCACGCAGGGGAGGGACATGCAGCGGACTGGCTGTGGCTGCTCCGGTCCCCCCTCCGCACCCTCCACCCTGCACCTCTGGGGGCTCCCTGCGCGTGGTTTTCCAGCTCTTTCTTGCCCATCACCATCTTACTGCCAAACACTGGCCCCGTGCTCAGAACCAGACCCGGCATTTCCCTCCTGGGCTGGTGCTGGGCCTCAGTCAAGCTCGGAGGGCTTTGGTGCAGGGTCTCAGTCCCGCCCCTCGGCCCCAGCCTTTGCACCATTCCTGGGTGGCTGTGCAGCCCCAGCCTGGGCACTGGGTGGTTGGCTACGTGGGGGCTTTCCCAGCACCTGTATGCACACTTACTTAGCTTACTCTCATAATTGTAGTCTCCTTGCAAATCTTTTCCGTTCTGAATTCAGATGATGCCGCAGCCCCAGCGTTGGAGACTCAGCCTCAAGGAGACGAAGAAGGTGAGCCAGGGTGCGGGACGGGGCCTGGAGTGGGGGAGGGTGGACGGTCGGGGGGGTGGGTGGACGGTCAGGGGGGCGTATGGACGGTCGGGGGGAGGGTGGACGGTCATGGGCTAGGAGTAGAGACAGGCCATCCTGACAAAGACGTCACTCAGCGCTCAGACATTCAAAGAAGAGTCAATGTGGTCTCACTGTTATGTAAAATACAGAAAGGAAAACTCCTTACCTAAACTCACACAGCAAGGAAGTGGAAAGCGTTTACAGAAGTAGGTGAGAGGAAAAGAACATTAGGCCAAAAGGTCAGGTCAGGTCATGTAGTGCTCAAGAGGATCTGGTCAGTCCTGGGCTTGAACTCGGGGCCTGGGCGCCATCCCTGAGCTTTTGCACTCAAGCCTGGCACTCTACCACTTGAGCCACAGCTCCACTTCAGGCTTTCTGGAGCCAGAGTCTTACAAACTTTCCTTCCTCTGGCTGCCTTTGAACCACAATCCTCAGATCCCAGCCTCCTGAGTAGCTAGGATTACAGGTGTGAGCCACTGGCACATGGCTTCATTTCCAGCTCATTTTATTGGTTAATTGGAAATAGAGTCTTAGCTGAGGCTGGCTTCAAACCTCATCCTCAGATCTCAGCCTCCTGAGTAGCTAGGATGACAGGTGTGAGCCACCGGTGCCCAGCACGATATCGGGTTCTTAACCACAAGTGTGCACAAACCTTCCTGGCGTGTGTTGATGCAGGTGTGAACTTGCCAGGCCGCAGGGTCTTCTCACTGCCCTGTGTCTAATTATGAAGACAGAAGCCCCGTCCCCCGCTTCGTGGCCCCTCGAGTTTGCTGCTTTGGCGTTTCCAGGTGGCACAGCACTGCCTGTTCATTTGTGTGAAGAAATGTCTGGGTTGAGAATTCCAGTTTGAGCGATATAAACGCATATTCTGGGGGTGTGGAGCCATGCCGTCTCCCCGTTCACGTCTTGTCAGCGCTGGGCATGAGTTCAGACTTCCTACATTTTGCCGTCGTAGTTGTCTTGGGCCTTGGTTCCCTGCTCAGGCCAAGCGGTGTCATGGTCTGGAGAGCATCTGCAGGGGATGCCCACGGCAAATGCATCGGCGTGTGGAGGGCGCGTGGCCCCTGTCACTGCGGTAGCGCACCGTGTGCGCTCTCCTCCGCCACCCCACACCCTCCAACCCCATTCCACAGACAGGCCCCGGAACAGGCTTCAGCGCCTGTATCCTCAGGACAGGATTGTGACGCATACCATCTGTGTTACAGTGCATTTAACAAATAGCTCACTCAAGTATTGCTTTCCTTGGAAAGACAAAATCAAAGTTCAGCAGAATAAAACACCAGGAACCAAGTATTGAAAAGGGGCAGGGTAGGGCCGAGGGGTAGACGAATGAGGAGGTGGATGATGAAGAAGAGAACTGGGGGGAATGCAGCCAGCAATCCAATTAAGATGGGGGCAGAGAGGATGAGCAGGGGTGGGTGACAAGGACCAAGGTATATTGTATTCATAAAGTGCCATGTCAAATGGCAACTCCTAGGTACAACTACCAAAGTAAAAGGTAGGAGAGAAAGTCATCAATAGTCATTGGGAAAAAAGGGAGTAACTATGTTTGTTTTGCAGGGTTCATCTGAGCATCTTTCTGTAGTACCCAGCTCTTTCAACACGGAGCTGCATTCAAACAGCTTTTCATTGCACTTTCCAATGAGGAAAACTGACGCTAACAGTAGAAATGGGAGTAGGGGGTGGATTGTTGTTTCCTTTGGTCTCCTTTCCTTTAGAAAGTGAGGTGTGCGTTTCTCTACCAGATTAATTAGTTGACTTTTAGACCAGCTGCTGAGCTCAGCTGAGGAAGGTGCGTTGCGCTCGGGATGTAACATGACTTCTACCTCGTTCACAGACATCGCGTCTCGGTACCCAACACTTTGGACAGAGCAAGTGAAAAGTCGGCAGAACAAGACCAATAAAAATTCAGGTAAAAGAGGTGCCCTGTCACGCTGAACCCCTGAGGGCGTTGCGCGTCCTGACCTGGTCCCGAGTCCCGGAAGTGCTGTGCACAGGCCTCCACACCGTCCTCTCAGTCATCAGAATGGGTTTACAACTCGGTCTCTTTTATTGAATTTTCTACATTATTTGGAATAGTCTGTTGATGCCACAAACTACAATTCTAGAGATGAAGTGTGAATGTGTGTTACATTTTGTTAGTAAGATTTTGCCTTTACCCTAATTTCCCAAACATCCATATTTTTGGCTAATTCATTCCTCCCAGTTGTATATATTGTGTTTGCTGCAAAACAATGTTTGTCAGGGCTTCATACGGTGAACTGGACCCCTTGTTCTGTGGACGGCGGGCTTGCTCTGAGTCCGGCTGGGGGTTGGGTGGTCTCAGGAAGCCAGCTTCTTCTGTAGCCTTTGCTTTCGTGCTCTGTGGCTGGTCTGCGCGTTTCCTGTGATCTCGTGGAACTTCTGAGCTTGGTGGTCAGTCACTGAGGCAGGTTGGCTCAGGGGCTACAAGAAATTCCCGCAGAGAAGAGAAATAGGGCAGAGGCCAAGAAGCGCGAGCATCGCGCATCGCTATCCTACCGTCTCTGTGTTTTCTTTGAGGTGCGTTTTCACACCCACTTAGGAGAAGGTCAAAGGTTACCCACAGGCAGGCATCACGTAAAGGGGGTGTGGTGCTGCTGGAGACAGGAGTAGCTCTGCCTTCAGGGACGTGCCCGCGCTTGGGGGCAGGGAGGCGAGGGGCCTGCGCTGTAGACGTGCTGGTGGCTCTAGAACACTTTTCATGGGAGCTGCAGCTAGGCAGCACCTGAACTTAATTTGGGAAAGAAACAGGTCTGTGCTTTCCACCACTGGAAAGGTACCTTTTTAGAGCACCTTGAGCGGCTGGTGTGGGAGCGTCCTGCGCCGGTCCTGCGCTGGCCCCACGCTGGCCCCGCGCTGACCCGGGCCACCCCGGCAGCTCGGGAACAGGGTGCCTCACCCATGCAGACTCAGGCTGAGCCCGGCCTGGCCTGGCCGCGCCGACTCACCTCACGCCCGGCAGGCACGCAGAGTGCTCGGGAAACCCCAGTGCACTCCACCTGCCTGCCTTGTGATGTGATCTGCGCCCCACACCGGGGTGGAATTCCGGAAGAAGAATGGAGCGGCTTGATCCTGTGTTCAGTGTTCACGCAGAAATGGCAAGCACCCTCAGGATTCGCACTCTGGCCACTGCGATCCATGGAATTTCAGACACCAGTTGAGTCTCATTTCCCTTTAATTTGCAAATTCGCATTGTGATAATATGGTATGACTTGCTGAAATCAAAGAATACATAGGCATGTGTCATAATAACCACAGTGGAGCATCTCAGGGAGGGGATCACACACAGGGGAGGTGATCACACACAGGGAGGTGATCACACACAGGGAGGTGATCACACAGGGAGGGAGGTGATCACACACAGGGGAGGGGGAGGTGATCTCACACACAGAGGAGGTGATCACACACAGGGAGGTGATCACACACAGGGAGGTGATCACACAGGGGAGGTGATCACACAGAGGAGGTGATCACACACAGGGAGGTGATCACACACAGGGGAGGTGATCACACACAGGGGAGGTGATCACACACAGGGGAGGTGATCACACACAGGGGAGGTGATCACACACAGGGAGGTGATCACACACAGGGGAGGTGATCACACACAGGGAGGTGATCACACACAGGGAGGTGATCACACAGGGCAGGTGGTCACACGCAGGCCTGGGGAGGGGACACCTGCACTGCTGGCAGCTTCTGAAGTGGTGGTGGGCCGCAGGGTCTCTGGTTCCTCTCCAGGCATGGCTCTCCTCACCAACCCAGCCATTACAGGCCATCCTGGCCCTGACCGGGAGCTGGCCCTCTGCTCCCTGGCCCTGGCTGGCCCCGTGGTCACCGGCATGCAGTACGGCCAGCCTGGCGCTGGGCTCTGTCCTCCTGGATTACATGGAGGGCAGCCTGCGTGCGAGGCTGATGTCTCCCTGAGCTGTGTACTTAGCACGCAGAATGTAAAGCTGGAGATGCAGAGTCGGAGCACGGCTCTTCTGCTGGCCGGGCAGGGTCCCCGGCGGGGCTCTGCAGACCTGGGGAAGACACTCCTGGCCTGGCCCCTTTTGCCACAGAGCTGAGGCCAGGCCTCCCCCCCTCTGCATGCCAGCCTTTGTGGTTATTGTCTTTCTAGACTGCGGGAGAACTAGAGAAAACATAGAAGTCCCAGTTTTGTCAGCAGTGCAAATTGCCCTCCTCCTTGGAGAGAAATCTGTCTTCCTCCCTTGGCCATTAAACACGGATCTGTTTTATGTCCGGCGTGTGTGTGGTGTATCCAAGGTCTGCGGGGTCCGTCAGTGGAAATATTTTCTGCTGTATGCAGGGTTCATCATTTTTGTTTTATTGCAAATATTAAAATTAGTGCCAAAAGATAATTATCTTCTACTTCTGCCTTAAATCAGGCTAAATTGCATTCCTCAGTGGGAAATAAAATAAGCTATATTTTTCTTTTCTGTTTCTAACATTTTCCTTTCCATTCTGTTTATCTCACATAACATTACCAAAACAGAAAAATACCAGACTCTAAGTTATAAAGTTTTGATCATTTGAAAAGATGAACAGATCCATAAATTAATAATCCCTTATAAGTGTGGACTGTAAAAATATATTATTTTAAAGCATTAATTATCCTTCTTTAAAATATGCATGACCAAGTCTGTCTAACTTTCCTAATTGTAGAAAGCAGCTTTAATTCCAGTCATACTTACTTTTCAGATTTCAACATTTGAGCAAACTGGTTAAATAATCAGGGTAAAGAATGTCAAATACAGAAATGACAGAAATTGGGGACAAAAGCAGCAAATGACGGCTTCACTGTGTGCAAGCACAAACTGTTCAGCAAATGGCGGCTTCACTGTGTGCAAGCACAAACTGTTCAGCCGTGTGAAGAAGGCGCCTGGCCTCACCTCCCAGTAGAGTGAGATTTGTGCCTGTCCCCCAAATCAGTGAGGTCTGATGTGAGAATCCAGCTCAATCCATCAGCTGAGTGCTGTGCATCCGCAGCTCACTCTATCTACCATGCTGTGCGTCTGCAGCATGGTTCTTTTGTGGTTGTTGGTCATGGGGCTTGAACTCAGGGCCTGGGCACTGTTCCTCAGCTCTTCAGTTCAAGGTGAGTGCTCTAACATTTGAGCTACAGCACCACTTCTGGTTTTCTGTTGGTTATTTGGAGATAAGAGTCTCATGGCTATTGCTGCCTGGGCTGCCTTTGAACCGTGATCCTCAGATCTCAGTCCCTTGAGGAGCTGGGACACAGGCGTGAGCCGCCAGCGCCCGGCTGCACATGGTTCTTAATAGCAAGTGGCCGACAGAGCTTCACTCAAACCCCTGTCCCGTCCCCGGCGCTGTGTGCAAAGGCCGATGTGTGGCCCGTCCTGGCCTCCTCCAGCCTCCTCTGGAGGCATCGCTGGCTGGCCAGAGGCTTGGATTGCCCACAGGGCTCTCACCGCTCCTGCTTCTGTCCTGAGTGACTGGGAGCTAGAAGTTCTGCCTTGCCAGGCCCGTGCTACGGGCAGAGGGGCAGAGGGGGCTCCTCCCCTCGCCACACAGGGGCCAGCCACGGAGCCACAGCTCCCCCGGCCTTGCTTAGCCGGGGGAAGGCCGGCAGGCCACCGTGCAGAGGGCCGTGCTGCATCTGCGGTGGCCCAGAGGACGTGCACACTGGCAAACTGGCTTTTATTTAAGATATAGATTCTGCATGGGGGGTATTTATGCCCCAAACCATTTCTTGTTTATCTGAAATTCAGATTCAACCTGGCATCTGGTGACCTTGGCTTAACTCATCTTCAGTTAGGAAAAAAGTGCTTGTGTCCTCTTCCTAAACATGTGAATAGAAAGTATCCGTCTGCTTTGGGGGACTTGCGCCCGAGTGGCCCCAGGGCGGAGGCTGCGCTCCCCTGCCAAGCCCTGGCGGGCGGAGGCAGGGTCCTCAGCTACAGCCTTCAGCCGACCTGTCCCTCCGGCTGTCTGTCCATCCTCTTCCCATCTAACCAGAGCTCCGCCTTCATTATGACCATTTCCAAGTGCCGTCACCCCCACCCCTCAGTCCATGGCCGGCAGGTCCAATATGGCCACTGCACTCTCACTTTCTTGCTCTGTCTCGCTGTCTGTCTCTGTCTCTGTCTCTGTCTGTCTCTCTCTCTCTCATATACACACACTCTCTCTGTCTTGCTCATCTCTACCTGCTCAGCCTGCCGCCAGCCCCCTGGCCTTCCTCCCACAGCCCCGGGGCAGTTTGGGCCCTGACCGGTCCCTGTCTAGCAAGGAGCAGCCACCACAGCCACTCGGGACTTATCAGCCGTGGATACAAACCCCTTCTGGGCTAGAACAAAATGTCTTTGTTTTCCCATATCAAATGCTGGCTGCAAGTAGAAGTTTCTCCCAAATCTAAGCATTGTTTCATGGCTACAGGTACATTATGCAATGGAGTTATTTTCAGCAGTGTTTTTTTAATCATTTTTATGAAAACAAGTACAGTTCAAGTTGACAGCAGAGACGTGCCCCGGGCACGCCTCGAGCGAGGGGCAGACCCCAGCGCGGCCTCCAGCCCTGCCGGGCATAGGAAACAGAACTCGAAGCCCTGCGGGCGGTGCCGGGCCTTCCATTTCCATGCCCACGCATTTGGCACACATCAGCTGCTCAGTTAATGGGAAAGCATCGAAGCGGCTTCCAGTCTTTATCATAAGCTTTTCATCACATCTGGTACAGCGTGTGAGGTGTGCTGGCTGGGTGGTGCGTCCGGCACGTGGACGGGGCCCAGACCCTCCAGGGTGGGCGTGGAGTCCCCGGTCAGGGCCTTTCTTCCTGTGGTTGCTGTGAATCCTGAGCTGCCACGCCTCCCCTGAGCTCAGCCTAAGAAATGCAACTTTCCAAGATAACTTCCAACTAAAACGCACTTTTCTCGTTTGTTTGGACACTTGGAAATAATTTTGTTTTCTGTTATGATGTAGCTCTTCAAGACAAAAACGATACTTTATTTTAGAACTTAAAACTAGAAAAGAATAGAGTAATTCCTTCACCATGTGTCACTGGGAAGAGAGCTCTTTATTCATTCAAGAACGTTTCCCAATTTAAGCATTATCAATTAATTTTTTTCTCAAAGGTGCTAAGCTGTGTTCTTTAAATTCATTTCTTTCATTTTGAAGCACACCGAAGGCTGGAAGAAGTCTAGGCCTCATCGGCAGTTAACGCAGCACTGAAGAAACCCGCTGGTGCCTGGCGGAACACACGGGGGCCTTCTCTTTCCCATGTGTGCTTTCCCGCCTTTACGCCCTTTAAAGTTTCCTGTGGCTTCTTGTCATGTGCTTGCTCTCTTGTGGAAGTGATGGAGTGAAGACTTAGTTGGAGGAGGAGAGGAAGAGGAGGAGGAAGAAGAGGAGGAGGACAAGGGGAAGGAGGAGGAGGAGGAGGAGGAAGGAGGAGGCTTTGCACTGCCTGCCATGTTGCTTAGGCTGGTGATCACTGGTGTAGTCGGTGAATGGCCTCCCAACACCAGGGCCAGCCAGGGCCATTGGAGGATGGACAGTGTCCATGCGGAGATGCGGCTGTGAGTTGGGGTGTCTGTGGACACTGCACAGGAGACGCAGCATGTGTCTATGTGGGATGATAAGTGTGCAACTGTGTGTGGATGAGTGTGCATCTGTGTGTGGGATGAGTGTGTGTCCATGTGGGATGAGTGTGCGTCTGTGTGTGGGATGATGAGTGTGCATCTGTGTGGGATGATGAGTGCGTCTGTGTGTGGGATGATGAGTGTGCGTCTGTGTGTGGGATGATGAGTGTGTGTCTGTGTGTGGGATGGTGAGTGTGCGTCTGTGTGTGGGATGGTGAGTGTGCGTCTGTGTGTGGGATGGTGAGTGTGTGTCTGTGTGTGGATGAGTGTGCATCTGTGTGTGGGACGATGAGTGTGTGTCTGTGTGTGGGATGATGAGTGTGTGTGTGTGGAATGATGAGTGTGCGTCTGTGTGTGGAATGATGAGTGTGCATCTGTGTGTGGGATGATGAGTGTGCGTCTGTGTGTGGGATGGTGAGTGTGCGTCTGTGTGTGGGATGGTGAGTGTGTGTGTGTGGGATGATGAGTGTGCATCAGTGTGTGGATGAGTGCGTCTGTGTATGGATGAGTGTGCGTCTGTGTGTGGGATGGTGAGTGTGTCTGTGTGGGATGATGAGTGTGTCTGTGTGTGGGATGGTGAGTGTGTATCAGTGTGTGGGATGGTGAGTGTGCGTCTGTGTGTGGGATGGTGAATGTGCGTCTGTGTGTGGGATGATGAGTGTGTATCTGTGTGTGGGATGATGAGTGTGTATCTGTGTGTGGGATGATGAGTGTGTGTCTGTGTATGGGATGGTGAGTGTGTATGTGTGGGGGATGGTGAGTGTGCGTCTGTGTGTAGGATGGTGAGTGTGTGTCTGTGTGTGGGATGGTGAGTGTGCGTCTGTGTGTGGGATGATGAGTGTGCGTCTGTGTGTGGGATGGTGAGTGTGCGTCTGTGTGTGGGATGATGAGTGTGAGTCTGTGTGTGGGATGATGAGTGTGTGTCTGTGTGTGGGATGGTGAGTGTGTGTCTGTGTGTGGGATGGTGAGTGTGCGTCTGTGTGTGGGATGGTGAGTGTGTGTCTTTGTGTGGATGAGTGTGCATCTGTGTGTGGGACGATGAGTGTGTGTCTGTGTGTGGGATGAGTGTGCGTCTGTGTGTGGAATGATGAGTGTGCATCTGTGTGTGGGATGATGAGTGTGCGTCTGTGTGTGGGATGGTGAGTGTGTGTGTGTGGGATGATGAGTGTGCATCAGTGTGTGGATGAGTGTGCGTCTGTGTGTGGATGAGTGTGCGTCTGTGTGTGGGATGGTGAGTGTGTGTTTGTGTGTGGGATGATGAGTGTGTCTGTGTGTGGGATGGTGAGTGTGTATCTGTGTGTGGGATGATGAGTGTGCGTGTGTGTGGGATGGTGAATGTGCGTCTGTGTGTGGGATGATGAGTGTGTATCTGTGTGTGGGATGATGTGTGTGTATCTGTGTGGGATGAGTGTGTGTCTGTGTGTGGGATGGTGAGTGTGTATCTGTGTGTGGGATGATGAGTGTGCATCTGTGTGTGGGATGATGAGTGTGCGTCTGTGTGTGGGATGATGAGTGTGCATCTGTGTGGGATGGTGAGTGTACGTCTGTGTGTGGGATGGTGAGTGTGCGTCTGTGTGTGGGATGGTGAGTGTGCATCTGTGTGTGGGATGGTGAGTGTGCGTCTGTGTGTGGGATGGTGAGTGTGCATCTGTGTGTGGGATGATGAGTGTGCGTCTGTGTGTGGGAAGATGAGTGCATCTGTGTGTGGGATGGTGAGTGTGCGTCTGTGTGTGGGATGGTGAGTGTGCGTCTGTGTGTGGGATGAGTGTGTGTCTGTGTGTGGGATGGTGAGTGTGCGTCTGTGTGTGGGATGGTGAGTGTGCGTCTGTGTGTGGGATGATGAGTGTGCGTCTGTGTGTGGGATGA